ATTAATTTTAATAAAGATATCTTCCAAGTAGCTTGAAAATTTTTTTTATATCTCCTTCAGGTGGTCTATAGCAGGTAGAAACTAAGATATTTTTAGTTTTGGAGTTAGTGATTTCTATTGTAAGTACCTCACAACTGGAATCAGAAATCGAAAGGTCTTTTCTTGCTTTTATTGCTTGGTCATTCCGAATATATGTTGCAATCCCTCCCCCCCTTTTGTCTGCTTTCCTTTCAGAAGATAATAATTTATAATATGGAATTTGAAAGTTAGAATTTTTTTGAATTGATTCATCAGAGCACCAAGTTTCTGTCAGACAAATCATACTGAATGAGTAATTGCAATCGGTTAAAAAATGTTTTAATTTATCAAAATTTTTATTTATACTTCTTATATTTATGTGTATTGCCAAAAAGTTATTTTTAAAAGTTTGGAGTTCAGTTTTAAAATTTTTAATGTTGAAATAAGGCGAATCAAAGTTATTAACTTGAAAGATTTGCGTATCAACGTCACAAAAATCATTGAGTATGTTATTTGCGGTTTCAAAGACATTAAAACGCAGCGATTCAAAATCTATTGTTTTGTAAGTCATTAAGTTAAGAAGCAAAAGTTAAAAACGCGTTCGTTTAAAAAAAGAGTTTAAGTAAAAGAGAACGCGGCGCTACTTTTTGAAATCTCGACTAAATATTTTATTGTATTTTAAAATAGCGTATTTACCTTCGCTGCGTAGTTTTTTTACTTCTTCCCAAAGCTTTCTTCGGAGTTCAGTTGTTTCTGGAGCGAAGTCTTCATTAACGTATAGGCCGGTTCCTTTAAGGTGCTTTACTGCGTTGAGAATTTTGTTTTTGTCCTGAAAATTTAGAAGTTTTAAGACTATTGTTCTTGGTTTGTTATGCTTGTGTTGACCGATACGATGAGCTCGTTCAATCACCACTTCACTTGTTATTTTAAGTTGTTTTTTAATCATTACTTTTACTGCTTTTTCGCAATCATCCCAATTCTCTCCTGGTGTTTCGTGTAGTCCGTCTATTCTTAAGTTGTTTCGTCTCGATCGATTTTCCAAATCTACTGTTTTTTTGTTTAATATATTTACTTCATTGTCATAGTATTTTTTTATGTGTGATAATTTTTCTGATATTTTATCTTCTTGAAAATTAAGGCTGTCTTTAATGTCATTGATATCTTTTTCAAAATTCGATATTTTCCTTTTATTGTTGTTATTGTCTTTTTCTATAACGTCTAACCTATCGGTTATAATTTTAAGGTTTGCACTCATTATTGAGGTGAAAGTTTTTTCCTGCTCCTTTAGCAAACGTTCTGTTTCTTTAAGTATGCAATGTTATATATATATATATATATATATATATATATATATATATATATATATATATATATATATATATATATATATATATGTTATATATATATATGTATGTTATATATATATATGTTATATATATATATATATATATATATATATATATATATATGTTATATATATATATATATATATATTATATATATATATATGTTATATATATATATATATGTTATATATATATATATATATATATATATATACAATGTTATATATATATATATATATATATATATATATATATATATATATATATATATATATATATATATATATGTATATATATATATATATATATATATATATGTATATATATATATATATATATATATATATGTATATATATATATATATATATATATATATATATATATATATATATATATATATATATATATATATATATATATATATATATATATATATATATATATATATATATATGTATGTATTCGACTTAAACATTGTGTATTTATAAGTATGTTTAAGATTGCCCACGCTTGATCATAGAAACAAAAATCATGTTTGTGTTGATTGTGGTTTGATATTTTAATAATCACGGAAGATTTTATTTAAGTTATATAATTTCGCAATAGCAATATTTGGTCGCATATATTGGATCAACGTTGGGTTTAGTAAAAACAATCAACTTTATGCGATGTTTTTACATATATTGGAAAAACGTTAATTTATATACATTGTATCAATGTCGAGATATATACATAGGGTTTAGATCGTAAAAACAATCAACTTTTTGCGATATTTTTATCTACATTGGACCAATGTAAATTTGCCAGATGTTTTTAGTTCCGTTGGTAATAACTTTATTATTAACCAAATGAGTTTTGCATTGGAAAAATAAGCCGACATTCGCAATGGTTTTACATACGCTGGCCCAATGTAATTGTTCTAGCTGGGTGGCTCCCTCGATAATTTGCAGTGAGGAGATAACTGCTTTCCAGGAGTTAGTTTAAATGTATAGTGATCTTCCAAACTCAAAAGTTTTAAATTAAGAATTCATGTTTTTCAGGTAAAGAAAATGGTCTAATATTATACCTGAAGATAGACCTAATACTCTAGTTAAAACCATTAAAATCTGCGATGAAAATCAATATCCTAATCTCTTTGAGCTTCTAAAGATCGGATGTACACTAGCCGTAACGTCCGCAGACAGTGAACGCAGCTTTTCAACAATGCAAAGATTAAGAACATGATTGAGAGCCAGTATGACTGCACATAGACTTGGTTCATTAGCCATCATGAATATCCACTATAATGAAATTGTTGATTATAAACTCAAAATATAAATAATTATAGTCTTAAAATTATTTTTTACTTAACATCCTAGAAAAAATTAAAACCATTTTACTTTTTAATTTTTTATTAAAAAATAAAAAATTAAACCATTTATCAAAGTATTATTATTCTTTGTATCGATACCCATTTTCTAACAAGGAGCTTGCTTATACGCCTATGCAGTATAAAAATAGAAAAAATATTCGGAGAACAATAAACTCGTTTATGTAAACATTATTTACACAAATATAGCTATGTTTCACGAAAATTTTATTAGTAAATTTAGTAAGATATTCTTTTGGTGTTTTAAAACTCCCTTTTTTTTTTCAAAAACGACCCCACTAAAAAATTTCACGGTACGGCACTGATTAATATTGCATAATTAATTACATTTTTTATCAAATTATGGTTGCAATGTCATTTGATAGCTCGTAAAAATATTTCATAGTAAAGTTTTTTTTGTCATACAGAGTAAATAGCTCTCAGTGTTAAAATTGCTAACACTGAATTTATAAAACTATGAAAATATCTTATAACAAAAACTCGAAATTTCACCCTCTATATACCAGCATCAAATCGAGGTAAATATGATTAACTAATACGCAGGACTATTTAAACATAGAATTTGAATTGCAAATCCAATTTCTCTAATGCATTCAGGTTTTTTATTGTTGGTTTTTAAATACTTATTTTACTTATTAGGCGTCCTGGAGGTTCTCACCCATAAATTCCCAATGATCAATCTTTAAAGCCTACCATACTTTTGTTTTAAATAGCAAATGATTCTGTGGCAAATTTTTTTAATAATATTAAAACGTAAATAATTATTTAAATTGTTTTAAATGAAGTTTATGCAGTGTCTTTGTTTGTTTTAGTTTTTATGTCTTCTAGTCTAAAAAAAACAAAAGTATATGTAATATGAAGTACACTAATGTTAATCTTATAATGTTGATACGCAATGAATTTATTCTAATTTATTTTTAATACAAGTTTTTACTTGATGCATTCATATTTAGTATTATTTTAATCAATGTTTGGTTTATATTGTTCACTTTATATTACTGTTCACAATTCGGCCTCTTGCGTATATGCATTTAATGTCAATCTTTTTCCACTGATTTTATTGTAAAATCAATTGAGTTTCAAAAAAAAAAAATTTTTTTTGCAGCTTTTTAAAACCAATATAAAATCCATTGAAATCAAAATTAAAAAAATTAAAAAAGATGTAAGATGCTTCTCTTGACTTTTTGGTCATTAAAATTAAAAAAACAAAATAGATTTTAATAGTGTTTTGGCCGTTTATTATGATTGGTTAAAGAAAGCTACAAGCTTTTTTTTTTAAAAATTTTATTTAAATAAAAGATTTAAACCAAGGTAGGTTTTGCTGCGCTAGCCTAGCTATACCCCTCAAAATTAATAGGTATTTAGTGTAAATAAGCTTATATATTTGCTCTTCGCAAATGTACAGTATTGCGTCATTTTTATTTTCAACTTAGACTCGCTAACACAAGTTTTTCTCAAAAGTGTAACTGCTCAAATTTGGATTGTAAAATCTTTTGAGTTTCTATTTCTTACCAAATTTGCGCGTATATTTGCAATTATTTCAATGTTAATGGACAAATTTCAAGGTTTTTATGGTTTCTCTGATAACGTTGCAGTAAATATTTTATTTTTATTTTTAAACGTAATAAGTAGTGGAATTTTGTCCGAATTCCAATTTTAGTACACTTTTTTTTGTTCGTTATTACCATTTACAGTCTCAAAAAAATGCTTTTATGTCTGAAGTCAAACTTAATTGCGCCTAAACCGGTTGTATATTTTGGAGGTTACTAAAAAACTTCCGTTAACAAACACGCAGAATTTAAACGTGTCAAAATTTTAAAAGATAAAATTTTAGCTAAAAACGAGAGTTAAAATTTTAGCGAGATTAATGTGTTAATCTGGTAACGTCTGGATTCGCGTATAGCAGCCGCGGAAACTTATCTTTACTCTATAAAATAGTTTATATTTTCCTTTGTAGATTCATTAGCATGATTGTTAACCAAAAATTAAGATTCTGAGTTAAAAATTTTAATTGATATTCAACTTTTACTAATTAATAACAAATTCTTGTCAAGTTTTGGCAAATAATTTATACCAATTTTGACAAAATGTTCAGTATTATGATTGTCACTTTTGATTGCGGAATTTGATAATCACTATGATTAGTAAAAGAGTTTTGATAAAAAATTACTTTCGTCAATTTTTTTATCAACGATCAAAATCATTGCAGCATAATAACCTTTTGTTTCTTGACGTAAACAATGCCTAAAAAAATAAAACGCAAAAAAATTGTAAAAAGTCTATTTACCAAAAGTCAGGTGTACTGAATTGTAAAATTCTGAACTATGGTTTCTAAACCACAAAAGAAATAAATAAATTTAATATTTAAAAAAAAATATATTCATAATACATTTCATTATCCGACAAGGGATAATTTTACGAGACTTTTTTACTTATAAAAGTTGAATTTAGCTAAAAGATGTACAACAGATCTTATAACGTAAGTTTACAATAAAAGTCTTCGGTTTAATTGATGTTAATATATTGAATCTCATTTATTAAAAGCAAAAATAATAGTAATACGTTAATAATAAATTTATCAAAAGATGTTACACCAAATGTTAATAATAATTTCACTGATAGTTATACATTATTAATACCAGACATAAAAATATTACTAATATTAACCGCAGCAAAAAAATTTTTAAAGCAACAAAAATAAAAAAAAGTGCAAATAATCGCAATGTTACTCGTACAATAATAGTTTATTATACAAACATAATCATAATTTGAGAAGAAGTTGTATAATCAATCATAATAATTATAAGAACTATTACAAGTAGTATTTGAAAAAAATAAATACAAAAACTTGAAACATCAACATAACATATTTAATAAATATTACGTAACTCAAAAAATAATTGTAGGTTGTTAACTAACTTACAGATTTCATGGCACATCAAATTTGTAAATCAGATTGTAGTGAAGGGTGCTGCTGACTACTAGATACACCTCTTATATAATTTTGTTATAATCAATCTTGATACCAACTGGTCACTAACAACTGGTACATATTTAGATTTAGAGTTAGAGTTTACAAAGTTATAACAGTTTAATTCTTTGCTTATAACAGTTTAATTGATTCTCGACATTTACACTCAAAACTCAGTCACAGTTTTCTGTAAAAAAAATTACTTTTGTTACTCATTGCTTAGATAACATATATATATATATATATATATATATATATATATATATATATATATATATATATATATATATATATATATATATATATATATATATATATAGACACACACACACACACACACACACACACACACACACACACACATAGTAATGGTGTATCTAGGAAGCAGCACTACCATCTAATTTGTCAAAATGTATATACTTTTTTGAAAAAGTATGTATTTTTAAAAATTTTTAGAAGTATACATTTAGCCTGAACAATGTTCTTTTTAATCATTTATTAACTTTATTATTTTATTTTTACATTCATTCAAGAACCCAAATTGGATGCAAGTAGTTGTGCAAACATAGTCCATTACATATGTTTTTGAAACTTATTGTTACTTTCAACATAAAAAATCCAAAATTAAATGGGAACAAGCTACTGTTATCTATGAATTCTTAAAGAATGCTTCTGCTAATTGAGTCAATTATTAACTAGTATGTTTCCATACAGTCAAGTTGCAAACAGATTAACATTACAATTCAAACTTTTAACAAATGAAGTTGAAGTAAAATATAAATGCTGTTCCATCATCATGTTTAATGAGTATATCTGCAACAAAAAGTGGTAATGCATATTTATAAAATTTCATGTGATTTAAAAAAGTGTTGAACACTTTTTTAAATCACATAAAAATAAATATGGAGAAGTTTTTTAGTTCTGACAGAAAAATAATTTGTTTAGAATCCTTCTTTTTCAGTCAACTGGATATTCAAAAAACGTATACAAATTTTTTTACCAGCAAAATTCTAGAGATAACTCAGAAAGATTATGAAAAAAGTTTTATATAATTGAGTGACAATCCTGTTACCTCAAATATTAAATTTATAGTACATAAATTTATAATCTATAATACATGATATAATATTCAATTAATTTATAATATAAATATTGACTAATAACACTAATTTAGTTAACTTTATAATTTTGAATTTTTTTTTGTTTGTTTGTTACTGTTAATGATTTTGTTTAATCATTTTATTTTAGAATCCTGTTTTATCCTCAAATATTTATCAAAATGATAATCAATATACAACTGTTTCATATCGAAAAGATCCTGGTTACTTTGAAAGAGTTGGAGGAAGTTGCATGGGAATTTTTGTTGGTTTATTTGTTTTAATTGCAGCGTTTCCTGTTTTGTTTTTAAATGAGGTAGCATTCAAGTCTCAATTTGAAATATATTTTATAATTTTTAAAAATAACCTTGCATAAAAAAAGAATGCTTTTTTTGAATATTATTTTTTAAGAATATTATTTTCTTTAAATACTTATTTTCCAAAGGGTAGGGCAGTTAGAACAGCACAGTCTTTAGATGAAGGTTTAAACTCAGTTGTGTTGCTAACTTCTTCTGAAAATGTTTATGATTCAAATAACAAAAAGTTAGTTCATTTGTCTGGAAAGTTGAGAACAGAAATGGTATTTAGTTTTTTTTTTTTTTTTTTTACTGCTGAAAAAAATTTGACTTATTTTGTTTTAAATCAAATTTAATCATAAGGTCCAAAATTAATTTGCAAAAAAACTATGAACCACTTCTAAAAAAACTTTTTAGCTAAACAAATTTTAATTAATAATTTAACTTGATAATACAGATGTTAACTAATGACTCTCATTTAGTAAACTTATATTTTTGAATTTTCTTAAGTTTGTTTGTTTCTTTTAATAATTTAATAATAATAATAATCTGTTTTATCTTCAAATGTTTATCAAAATGATAATCAATATACAACTGTGTCATATCAAAGACATAAACTAAGTATATAAACTAAATATAATAATATATAGAATAATTCTGGAAATTTACTAGACTAAATACATAAACTAACTATAGAAACTAAATATAATAAAATATTAAAACTAAATAAACACTAAATATAAAAACAGACATATATTAAATATACATTAGAAACATCAAGTCAAACAGTTTTCATAATGTTATCATGAAATAAGTAGTTTCATGATTTAAACAATTACAACTGTGAATATATTGCTAATGTTTATATAGTTATTTCATTAATAGTTAAGTATATAGTTATATATATAGTTAAATCAGTGTCAGCTTATTGGAGAGCTAGGAGAAGAAAAAACATGATATAAACAAGTTTTATAAATAAAAACAATGAATAAACAAGTTTCATAAATAAAAACAATTATATGAATAGCTACTGTCCTTGATCAAATTACCCACGCTAATTTTTTTTAGTAGTTGTTTTGTGCTTTATTAAAAATACAAACTTAATACTTAAATAAAAAGTTTTTTTTTTACATTATATCATAATAAGAATATGTTTATTAACATAATTTCCAAATATGGTGTTGACTTTCTTTTATTTTTTATTGTTGCATATAGGAAGTGACTGGGGCCCCGTCCCCAGCTAAAAATGAAACTTTTTGCAAACCTGGCCTCAGCCCCAGCAAAATTAAAAGATTTATTAGAGGTTAGAGGTTGATAGCATGAGCTAGAAAAAAATTTATAATACTTAATATATTATAGTTTTATGCTTACAATTACTATTTATTAAATACTGGCATATATTTATATATTTTTAAACTCTAATTTACTTCCAACAAAATTGCAAGCAACCACTATTAAGTTATGGGTTACTTTAAGATAAAGTATAAGTTAAAATACTAGGAAACGGTTAACTGAAGACTTAAAAAGTTTTAGGTTGTATAAAAACGTAAAACACAAAGATGGGTAAAAGTTATAAGGTTTTTTTGATGTGCAGGAAAAAAAACTGGATTAATTTTTATTATTTATTACTGGATTAATTTTTATTAATTATTAACTGGATTAAAAGTTTTTATAGCATGAAGAACTAGATACAGTGAAAGAATGCAACTTGTTGAATAAGAACCAAGCAAGAATTAGTTTTCATTTATAATGAAAAAATTTAGAGATTATAATTCGTTTGAACATTGACCATAATAATATTTGTAAGGAAAAAGAAAAAAATGCAACCTTACAATAATGGAAGAGTGATTCGAGTTTAGCATAAAAAGCAAATATAAGCATAAAATGTCTAATTACATTTACAATGTATTTTTAGACTTTTTCTGAATTTAAGAGGGTTGTTATTCATCAATATAGGAATGCCAACAACATTGCAATATTTTTTTCCAGTAAATAAATGAGTTTTGTTGTCTAACAAAAATTGTGGATTTTAAGCCTAATATAAGAATTTAAATCCATAAGCCACTGCAAGCCTTAGGCTGTTACATAATTGAGATCATATTAAAAATCAGCTGCTTGTTCTAAGCAGTCAATAAGTAAAGATTTTTTGTTGAGGCAAGAGTATAAAGTTGAGTCGTCAGCAAATAGAGCCACTTTTGATGTAAAATTTTCATGAAGATCATTATTGTAGATAAGGAAAAATATATTGATTAGTTACATGAAAACTAATTTATACACACACACACACATACATACATACATACCAAAATATAATTTTTCTTTTCGAAAGTATAATTATTGTTGTAATTAAAATAAAAAACACAATATCATTTAAAAAAAATAAATTGCATAATATACTGCAATGCTTTTTAAAAGACACATTTGTTTCAAAAAAAAAAAAAAAAGTTAAAAAGAACAGCTCGCACAGCTCCCCAATTTTGTTTTAAGAGAGCTTTTTTCCGTGTAAACCTGCTGCATTTGTAAACATGTAAACTTGCTGCATTTGTAGATGTTAAAAAGAGGCTTAGGCTAGACCTTTTTTTAAAAATTAAAGTTCTAAAAACTATGGTTTGTGGAACTCTATAAAATAAGATTTCTTAACACTATCATATACAAAGGGTTTTTGAAAAAATACTGTGCCCTTCCTATACCACTGCTTAAATAATTTTTCAGGGAAAAAATTTGGGTCAAATAACAAAAAGTACTTGACTAATAATTTTAAGAAAAAATTTAAAAATTGCTTTTTTACTAATTTTTAACTATGTAATTAATAAAAGCAATTAAATCTTTTACCTTCCCTTAAATATCAACTATTCACACACAAAAAAATAACACCATTTTCAAGAATTTATTCTTTTATGACAAATAATTGAAAAAATTGTTCCAAGTTTTTAGAACTATTCTTAATGTGGTGCGAACTATTCTTAGCTTATATATTCTTAACTATTATTAGCTATTTTTAACTATTTTAGTGTAACTAATATATTTTTAAATTCAATCCATATTTTTTTTATTTTTGAACAGATAAATGTTGACTATTGTGTTATTTTCCTTTAGTTTTTAGATGCTTAGTTATTCTTTTGAATATGAAAAAGATTCTGAAATAAAAGATATGAAAAAGATTCTGAAATAATGTGTAATAATCCATTTAAAGATGGTTGTTTAGATACATGATTTGTGCAAAGACTACAAATTTCAAACTTGGAAATCTTGCCAAAATTCCACTGTTTTTTAAAATTTCATTTGCAAAATAATTATTAAAAATATTTGCAATTTTACAAAACCAGTATTTTAATATAAATTAAACTTTGTAAATATTTTTAAAACATTTTGTAAATATTTCAAAAACTTTTTGTAAATAATTCTAAAAATAATCTTTTGCTTAAACTAAAAGCTGCAAATTTAGCTACAAAATGAGACAGCTATGCTTTTATTGAGAAAAATTAAAGTTGGTTCAAGATATTCTATTGTTAAATCCTGAAATATTGCAATCATTTGATTTTGTATGTCTTCCAAAGCCTCTTTGGGCTCTCTATTTATTCTGTCTAAATTAATGATAATTTATGAAAACTTAAAGATTTTCAAGGGTTTGAGCAGTTTATTTCTTTTTTTTTTATTTTTATTTTTTTTCATTGTATATCATCCATATATCAGAATGCTGATTGTTTTAACTCTTGACAAGCAATTTTTGGAATTGAATGAAGTTTTATGATTTTTCTTTTCTATCTTTTTATTGTTGGAATTCAAAAGCAATTTATTCATTTTGACGTAACTCTTCTTGTTAACTTATATACAACTAAAATACAACTAGATGTTTAGAACAAAATAATAACTAATATACAAAGTAATAACTAATATACAACTAAAATACAACTAGATGTTTAGAACAAAAATAAATGTAGTTTGTAATTTTGTTTGTAATAACTTTGTTAAGTTTATTAAGTGGTAATGACTAGTTAGCACAAAATATTTTGCTAATTACCACTAAAATGGTAATTGACACAATAGTATATCACTAAGATCGCAAAGAAAATAATTTTAAGGATCTTGAATTTCTCAGAAAGTTTTTACTTTTCTAAATTGTAGTAATAATATTGTAAGTTATTTGTATAAATATTAGAAGAATTATATCTACATTAAAAATACTATTACGTTCATAATAAATATTTTGATTAAATCAAGCTTTTATGTTAAACAAATTGAGTTTTATCTTTCATAGACTTTTGACATATTGTGAAAAAACTTATTTTTTTTTAACTACTCTTAATTTTATGAGTCATTTTTCATATAAAATTTCATTTCATATCTTGTTCATATTCATTTTATATCTTTATATCTCATTCAGTATTTCAGTCTTACCACTTAGTATTTCAGCTTTATCATCTTTGAAATTTATTTATACTACATCCTGAAAATAGTTCATTTCTCTTTTAATTACCTATTAAACTTCTTTTTTTTTTTTTTTCAAGAAAAGTTTTTATTTTATAATTAGCAATGAATCCTATAAAAACTTAAATTAAATTCGGTAAGCTCTGAAATGAGGCTTTGAATTGAGACCATTTATTAATTTAATTTGTTTATTTTTTATGTGTTATTTAATTGATTTTATTATTTTGAGTCATTAGCAAACACTTAATCTCTCATCTTGAATCTAATAACTTAGTTTCTGATCATCAATGTGGATTTTGATCTTTTCATTCTACCTCTGATTTGTTAATGGTAATAACCAATAGGTTTTATCATGCATTAAAAGATGTGGAGAGGTTATGGCTATCGCTTTCAACATTTCTAAAGTCTTTGATAAAGTTTGGTGTGCTGGTCTTCTCCATAAGCTTTCTTCTTATACCAGTGTACCAGGTACATCTTTAATAGAATCTTTCCTTACCAATTGTAGTATAAAAGTTGTATTCCATGGACAGCACTTTTCTTCATATCCTGTAACTTCAGTGGTTTCTGAATAATCTAACCTTGGCTCTATACTTTTTTTAATTTACAGGAACGATTTTTCAGAAATTCTCACATCTAAGGTGCTGTTGTTTGCTGATGATACTGATGATTCTTGTCTTTATAAGAAGCCAGAAGAGATAGCATGTGCCATCTACTAAAATTCATTCTTGTGTTACTTGTCATTCAATTAAGTCTCATCCTTTTACTATGACTTTCCTAAGTGCTCCATAAGTTCTTATTCCTCTAGTTTTTTTCCTCAAACATCTACTGCTACTGGGAGAGAAAAGATGAAGTTTATAGATGATAGTGGTTGCTTGCAACCTTGTTGGAAGTGAAGATGTTGAAAAAAATAACAATTACAAAATCTTAAGTTTTTAGTGGTTTATTTTTTAGTGGTTTAGTGGTTTATTTTCTGTATTATTTTTTAGTGGTTTAGTGGTTTATTTTTTGCATTATTTTTTAGTGGTTTATTTTTTGTATTATTTTTTAGTGGTTTAGTGGTTTATTTTTTGTATTATTTTTTAGTGGTTTAGTGGTTTATTTTTTGTATTATTTTTTAGTGGTTTAGTGGTTTATTTTTTGTATTATTTTTTAGTGGTTTAGTGGTTTATTTTTTGTATTATTTTTTAGTGGTTTAGTGGTTTATTTTTTGTATTATTTTTTAGTGGTTTAGTGGTTTATTTTTTGTATTATTTTTTAGTGGTTTAGTGGTTTATTTTCTGTATTATTTTTCAAGTTAATTTTTACATAATCTTTTGAATTGATATAAGTTGGTAATTGTTTTAATTGTTTATTATTATTTATTAATCGATAATAATAATGATAAATAAATGATTAAATAATTGTTTAAATTTCTTTGTTAATCTAAATTTATCTGATAAAGTTAGCAAATTTTTAGAAAAATAGTTAAAATATCAACAACAATTCATTCAACATTGAAATTATTTTTCTCCGCTGCGCAGAGAAACATTCTCTGTTACTCTGCGCAGCGGCTTTGTTCGTCAAGGTTCGTGTTTCGGAGTTATAGAGTTGAGAGAGGGTTATAGCCACAAAATAAGTAGCCTCCTCGTCTGTAGTGGCCTTCTCGGCCTTGAGGAAGTGAAGTATAATAAAAAAAAAAAAAAAAAATTCTAATATTTAATGGGGTTAATTTTATTTAATTTTCTAATATTTTAAATGTTCTAATTTTTAAATTTATTTAATTTTCATCAACTATTTAAAAGGTTTTAAGTCATTTTCATTAAATATTTAAAAGGCTTTGACAGATAATGAATTTGGAATTAGTATATTTGCTGTAAAGCTAAAACGCCATGTTGAAATGTATCAATGGGTTGAACATGAAAACAAGAGGTATAGATATATGTTACATGTTTTTATTTGAAAAATATGAAAAACAAAAAAATTAGTTTTCTTTTAAATTTATAGAGAGTACAAGGAAGGTGATCAAACAAGAATTGAAACAACATATTCATATTGTAAGTAGTTAAACAACAACATATTCATATTGTAAGTAGTTAAACAACAACATATTCATATTGTAAGTAGTTAAACAACAACATACTCATATTGTAAGTAGTTAAACAACAACATATTCATATTGTAAGTAGTTAAACAACAACATATTCATATTGTAAGTAGTTAAACAACAACATATTCATATTGTAAGTAGTTAAACAACAACATATTCATATTGTAAGTAGTTAAACAACAACATATTCATATTGTAAGTAGTTAAACAACAACATATTCATATTGTAAGTAGTTAAACAACAACATATTCATATTGTAAGTAGTTAAACAACAACATATTCATATTGTAAGTAGTTAAACAGCAACATATTCATATTGTAAGTAGTTAAACAACAACATATTCATATTGTAAGTAGTTAAACAACAACATATTCATATTGTAAGTAGTTAAACAACAACATATTCATATTGTAAGTTGTTGTTTTTTAAATCTTGAAAGTTTGAATGTTTACTTTTTCTTCTTACAAAACAGTTCAAATCTAATTTCATTCATTAAGACTAAACACATAATAACGTATATAAAATGTTAAATATCAAAATAATCTATATCAAAAAATATATATATAAACAGTCTCATTTTAAATGTCAGGACTTTTGAAACACAAATTACTTGTTTAACAAGAAATACAAACTTGTCTAACTTAAAACATTTTTATGCAATGTAATACGAAAAACTATTAGGTTAAAAAAGTACTAAAAAATATTTGGCTTAAATAAATGTCAAGCATAATATAATAATTGTACATAATTTACTTTTTTTCTTTTTGGATTTTTTATATTTATTTTTAAATATTCTAGATTTATACCAATCAAATATTTTTGTTAATAAATTAAACTAAATATGAACTTTGTTTAGCAAAAGAATGGCGATCTGAAATCATCAATAGTGGCAGATTTAATGTTCCAACATTGCATCAAAATCCAAAGTTTGTTTTTATTTTTGTTGTTTACTTTATTGTTCCCTTTTTAGAACGTTGAAGAATTTTACTAAATATGGAATAACTCTATCTATAAGGTTGTTAATTCAAAAATTTGTATTTACTCAAAAATTCTTGGTAGCTTTACCAATAATATATAATGAGGTTTTGTTTCCAACTTATTCCATATTTTTTTTTTAATAGTCTATATAATATTTTACTTTTGAAATGATTTTTAAAGTTAGATTATTTATGTAAAAAATTTTTTATGAAAGTCACAGTTATGCATTTTTTCATCAGTTCAATGTGAAATCGAGGTTGCTAAAATCAAATTTCAATTTCTGTGCACTGTCAACCGTTCACATACAATTAAAAAAAATGTACAAATTTGATTAAATTTATAATATTAACTGAACATATTTGTAATTAACTGAACCTATGTCCAAGCTTGTCCAAGCTTGATATGTAA